CACTCCTCCACGTGCACCTGCTGGATGACCTTTGCAAGCCATAGTTCTGTCAGAACTGTCCTTGAAAAAGAGCCATTTCTGTCTGAGCTCTCTCAGCCCCACCGACCTCACTGGGTGTCTGTTGTGGGGAGGGGAAGGGAAAGGAGATTGTCAGCCGCTCTGAGACACCTTCGGGTAGTGAAGGGCGGGTACCTAAACTAGAAACCACTTTTAACAGCTAAACAACACAGAGTCAATGGGAATACATAGCAGAGTAGGCACTTTCATGAACGCTGATTAATGCACTTTCGATCCACTTTCAATGCACGGCAGGGTAAGCGCTTATCTGAAGAAGCGAGCAGTGACTCACGGAAGCTCCCTACCCTGCCACAAATTTTGTTAGTCTTTAAGGTGCTCCTGGAGTCAACTCTTGCTCTTTCCTCCTGTGACTCCGTGGTATGCTTGATTTTTCTCCAGGGCTTTCCCACATTTCCATTTCCCTCCCTTGTAAGATCCTGTTTCTTTTGTGTGAGCACCCCCCCCCCCCCGTTCTGCACTTGTTTTGCTCCCTCTAGTGGTCGATTCGATACCACACCAGTTTACGTCCAGCATATCTCCCTGCGGATTTAAACTGGGGTTTTTTTTACGCCGGACATAAACTGGTGTGATATCAAATTGACCAGTAGGAGGAGCAAAACATGAGAGGAACAGGACCCCCACCCCAGGAGCTTACTAGCGAGGAAAATGAGAAGGTGGGAAAGCAGGAGATGGACACACACACCCCTCCAGCAATGTCATCTTTAAAATCCCATCTTTAGAATGGGATCCCTTTCCCTGGGCCTGCTTTCGTTGGGTCTTTGCAGTCGGGGGCATTTGCAGGGCAGGGGGCTTCTGGGCCATTAGGGGGTCTTTGCTGAGTGGCTTCCTCAGAGAGCCAGTTTGGTGTAGTGGTTTGGAGCGTGGGCTCTAATCTGGCAGAACCGGGTCTGATTCCCCACTCCTCCCCATGCAGCTGCTGGTGTGACCTTGGGTCAGTCACAAGTTTTCACAGAGTTGTTCTCTCAAGGGCAGCTCTGGAAAGAGCTCTCTCCGTCCCGCCTACCTCCCAGGGTGTCTGTTGTGGGGAGGGGAGATTCCTTCGGGTAGTGAAGGGCTGGGGTATAAACCCAATCTCTTCTTCTCCCGTCACTGGCCCGTCAGAGTCTCATCCAACAAAAACCTGGCAGCCACCCCCCACACACACACACAGTGCCTTGTTTGGGGTCGTGCCAGGTGATGGGGTGCTTGTAGCTGGACCGCCGGCCCATCAGCAAGGCTGGTCTTGCCATCTCTTTCGGCCAGCCGCTGCCTGATCGGGAAGTGACTCCTTCTCCTCCTCCCCCACCCCCGCCCCTCTCCATGTGCCTCTGCAGGAGAGAGATGCACAATGACCGGAGCGGGAACTTGCAGTTTTTGTAGATCCAGGTGGGCAACCATATCCGTCTGAAGCAGCAGAACAAAGTTGGAGTCCAGAGACTCCTTGGAGACCAACAAACTTTTATGCTGGGTCTCAGGTTTCGTGTGATCTGATGAAGCTTATACCCACGAAAGCTCATACCCAGAATCAAACTCTGTTGGTCTTAAGAGAGAAGAAGAAGAGATTGGATTCGTGCCCCGCCCTTCACTACCCAAAGGAGTCTCAGAGCGGCTCACAAACTCCTTTCCCTTCCCCTCCCCACAACAGACACCCTCTGTGAGGTAGGTGGGGCTGAGAGAGCTCTTTCGAGGACTGCCCTTGAGAGAACAGCTCTGAGAGAACTTATGACCGACCCACGGTCACACCAGCAGCTGCATGTGGAGGAGTGGGGAATCAAAGGATATTGACAAGCTCGAGCGTGTCCAGAAGAGGGCAACCAGGATGGTGAGAGGGTTGGAATCCAAGTCTTACGAGGAAAGGCTGGAAGAGTCGGGTCTGTTTAGCCTGGGAAAGAGAAGGCTTAGAGGAGACATGATTGCAGTCTTCAGATATTTGAAGTGCTGTCATGTAGAAGATGGAGCAGATCTATTCTCTCTTTCTCCGGATGGCAAGGCTAGGTATAATGGGTGGAAATGACAAGGGAGTCACTACCGGCTAAATATCAGGAGAAACTTCCTAACTGTAAGAGTGGTTGAGCAGTGGAACAATCTGCCTTGGGAGGTGGTGGATACTCCTTCGCTGGACGTTTTCAAGTGGAGGCTGGACGACCATCTTTCGGGTATGTTGTAGGTATGTAGGGCTATCTTTCGGCTGTGCTCCTGCAGAGTGCAGGGGGTCGAACTAGATGACCTGCAAGGTCTCTTCCAACTCTAACATTCTATGATTCTATGATTCTGTATACCCGGTTCTCCCAGATTCCAAGTCTTACGAGGAAAGGCTGAAAGAGTTGGGTCTGTTTAGCCTGGGAAAGAGAAGGCTTAGAGGGGACATGATTGCAGTCTTCAGATATTTGAAGGGCTGTCATGTAGAAGATGGAGCAGATCTATTCTCTCTTGCTCCGGATTGCAAGACTAGGTCTAATGGGTGGAAATGACAAGGGAGTCGCTACCGGCTAAATATCAGGAGAAACTTCCTAACTGTCAGAGTGGTTGAGCAGTGGAACAGTCTGCCTCGGGAGGTGGTGGATGCTCCTTCGCTGGACGTTTTCAAGTGGAGGCTGGACGACCATCTTTCGGGTATGTTGTAGGTATGTAGGGCTATCTTTCGGCTATGCTCCTGCAGAGTGCAGGGGGTCGAACTAGATGACCTGCAAGGTCTCTTCCAACTCTAACATTCTATGATTCTATGATTCTGTATACCCGGTTCTCCCAGATTAGAGTCCGCGCACTTAACCGCTACACCAAACTGGCTCTCTTAAAGGTGCCCCTGGACCCAAACATTGTATTGCAATGCTTGTGACAGTGACGTCCTTCTGGGTCGGCTCCCCCTGCGCATGGAGGAATTCAGAGCACCCCTTTCCTCGGGGGGGGGGGTGATGGGGATGCAAGAAGCCGCCTTCCTCCGACTCAGGTCCTGAGGGCCCGTACCCTGGCCCCAGCTGACGGCAGGCTGGGCGGGGTCGCTGGGAGAGAGACGTCAGTCCCTGCCCTTGTCCCTGAGTTCCAGAGGGCTGGCCTGGCGTGGTGGTCAGAGCGTCAGACTAGGACCGAGGACGACCCCATTCAGACCCCTCACACAACCATAGATCCCTGCTTCCTTGGGGGGGGGGGGGTCTGTCACAGTCTCTCAGCCGAACCCACCCTCCCAAGGTGGTCGTGGTGAGGGTTAAGCCGGGGGCAGGGGGGGGTTACGATGTGAAGAGCCGCTCTGAGTCTTCGATCCGGGAGGAAATAAAAAGTCAACAAATGTCTGTTCGCTGCAAGTGGTGTGGACCCGACCAGGAAGCTCTTGAAGACAAGCCGGATGGATGCTCAGGGCCACGGTGCCTCCCCAAGATGGAGGGTGGAGAAGGAATCCTTACTCTTGAGATCCTCGCTCTCCTTCTCGGGAGGTTTCCAAGCAGAGTTCTGGATGGCCACCTGGCAGCAATGCTGATTCTGTGAAGGGAGGGCAGGGAGGGTTGCCTCTGTGCTTAGTTCTCGTGGCCCTTTCTTGCACCCACCACTGGGTCAGAACCCATCCCAAGATGCAAGGCTCAAATGTTACCAGTACGTTTTCCCCCCCAGAAAGGTGTGCTGTACTCTAGAAAGAGATCTGTCTACATGTAAATAGCCTTCTGCACATGGCACCAGCACCAATCTGCATCAGCATCTATTACCTTATGCTTCTATGAACTCTATGAAATTGGCCAGAAGGGTTATTTGATGTGAATGATGTGAATCCCAATCTGGGACCACCAGTTGTTCTATGTGAGGTGTAGCCCGTGACTAGAGCTGGATTGGGGACACTGAGAGGGAGGGAGAAAAACTACAGGAGACAGAAAGAGAAGGACAGGAAAAAAACAGAGAGTGAAGAGAAGGAGAAAGACTGCAACATGCAATACAGATTTAGAGGGTTTTATTTTGCAGAAGAGGTCAGAAGAGGTGCACAAGGACTCCTCCAGCCCATTTAGAAGAATGAAGTGATCACATTTTCAGAAAGCATTTTAAGCACAGCCATCCCAAGACCATCATTCTGTCCAAACTTCCCCCATGATCAATAGCCTGAATGTACACTAATCCTATTACAGCAAAGAGAAACGAGAGGCAGCGATGAGAAAATGAGTAGACCATCCAGTTCAATCAGCTAATCTGTTTGCCTTTCTCATCCTTGCCCTTGATTATGTTTCTGAAACAAGATTCCGACGGAGCCGACAAAGGCAAAGCCGCCACTTTGGGGTCAGGGAGCAAGTTTTCTCCAGGCCGTTTTGGCCGGGGATCCTGGAGGTTTTTATTTTTATTTATTTATTCTACTTATATCCCGCCCTCCTTGCATAGTAGGCTCAGGGCGGCTTACAGTGGGTTAAAATACGTTAAAACACAGATGCATTAAAACAATGCAACAACGTGGTATGCAACAAATTGTCATCTTCTGGGGCATGGAGCAGGGGTCACTGTGGGTGTGGAGGGGGGAGGAATTTGTGAATTTCCTGCCTTGTGCAGGGGGTCAGACTAGATGACCCTGGAGGCCCCTTCCCACTCTACGATTCTATGATTCTAGAATGCCCGTTTCACATGGAACTCTTTCTAGGTGTGTCCACACATTCCCATGCCAGAGGCCGGCTTTCTGGGTTTTGGCGTGTGCTCTGCTAAGCGGTGGGGATGCCCTAACGGAGAGAAGGCCCCCAAGTTTCCTCCTCTGTGAAATGAAATTACCGCTGGCTCCTTCTGCTGTGGCCCCAGTGCCTTTGTGAAAGGCAAGGAAGCCGCCGCGTAATCCCCTTCCGGCGTGCAGGGGCCGTGTGTCCTTGAGCAGCCGGCCCCGGGAATCCGTCTGACCACCAGGTGGTCTTTTGGTCCCCGGCGCCCTTCCTGTTTCCAGGCTGTGATGACCACCTGTTGTTTTTCTCCCTGCCCCTCCCCCGCAGGTTGGCCATAAACAATGCCACCATGACGGGGACCGTCCTGAAGATGACCGACCGGAGCCACAGGCAGAAGCTGCAGCTGAAGGCTCTGGACACCGTCCTCTTCGGGCCACCACTGCGTGAGTGAGACGGCGAGTTCATATGACTCTACGTTCGTTTGCTTGCTTAACCTGAAACATCTGTTAGCCGCTCTTCTTTCTTTACGGAGCTCAAGGTGGCTTCCAACATAGATAAAATGTGTAAAACGAAATACATTAAAACACAGGGGTCATTTTAAGGGGGTACGAGCCGGAGCGGCGTTCCGGGAGGAACAAGCCCAGGAGCAGGGAACCCAGGCGTGCTTGCGGGCCTGCCCTGTGCTTCCCCAGCCAGCCTGCCTGCCTGCCGTGTCGGGTTGGCTGGGGAGGGGAAGGGGAGGTGGGCAGACATGCCCCCTTTCCCCCCTGAGCCTCTCTGCTTTTGCGGAGAAACTCGGGGAGTGGGGGGGGGGGTTAATGCCTTTCTTTCCCTTTACCATCAGGCATTTTAAACATGCCTGGGTTCCCTGCCTGTGGGGCACCTGGAGAAGATCAGGCAGGGAACCCAGGCATGCTTAAAATGCCTGCCCTTTGTCAGGGGGTGTGGCATATGCAAATGAGTTATGCAAATGAACTCCTGCACCTCTTTTTCTACGAAATGACCCCTGTATAAAACATATAAACCAAAATTTAAAATCACAGCTCAGGACTGCTGTAAGCTTCACCAAATGGGGTCCTAAATAAAACCGTCTCCAGTTGCCTCCTAAACGTTGAAAGGGAGGGGGCCGGGCACACCTTCCTGGAGAGTTGTTCTATAACCGTGGGGCCGCCACTGAAAAGGCCTTCTCTCGAGTGCAATGCTCCCTCTAAGCTGTGGAGTCTTGTGAGCAAAAATCCTACTTTGTGAGCTCCTGGCATTAAAGTGGTGAGCGAGCGATTCGGCTGCCGCATCAATCAGTTTGCTCTGGAGCCCCATCCTTCCTGAGCCGAGACGAAAATGTGTGAGCCGGAGGCTAAAAAAACTGTGAGCTAGGCTCACACTCACTCAGCTTAGAGGGAACACTGCGTCGTGTGCCCACCAGACGAGCTTCTTTAATTTGTGGGAGCAGTCGGGGGGGGGGGCTCTCCCTGTGATCTTAATTCCCGGGCAGGAACACCTGGGAGAAGAGGGTCCTTCAGAAACCCTAGTCTTAAGCCATGCCGGGCTTTAAGGGATACGAGCCAGTTTGGTGTAGTGGTTAAGTGCGCGGACTCTAATCTGGGAGAACCGGGTTTAATTCCCCACTTCTCCACTTGCACCTGCTGATGTGACCTTGGGTCAGTCACAAGCTCTGGCACAGCTGTCCTTGAAAAAGAACTGTTTCTGTCAAGAGTTCTCTCAGCCCCACCCACCTCACAGGGTGTCTGTCGTGGGGAGGGGAAGGGAAAAGAGTTTATAAGCCGCTCTGAGACTCCAAGTGAAGGGTGGGGTATAAATCCAATCTCTTCTTCTTCTTCTTCTACCTTGAATTGGGATTGGGATTGGATTGGTAGGTAGTGCAATTGCTGTAACAGTGACGTGTTCCCGTTTGCTGGCTTGGACCAGTGCTCTAACCACAGCGTTCTGCACTCGCTGCAGCCTCCGGCCACTCTTGTATGTGGTGGCAGCTCATGCCAAAGCAAGGTTTAAAAAAAAAAAATATCTGCGCAGCCAGTCCAATTTCCAGTGGCAAATCAGAACCCTTGCAGGGCAGAAACCCCACTTGGATGGCACTGGGAAAGGTGCTGATGAATGCCATGGTGCCCACGGGCACCAGGTTGGGGACCCCTGGCCCAAACCGTCCTCTGTGGGCTGGTCTCGGTTGGCACAGATGTCCTGGGGCTGGAGCTGGGTTGTTCTCGCAGCCATTCCAAGAGACAGTGTGGTGCAGTGGTTTACAGCGGCGGACTCTAATCTGGAGAACCAGGTTTGATTTCCCCGCTCTCCTCCTCCACCTGCAGCCAGCAGGGTGACCTTGGGCCAGTCTCAGTTCTCTCAGAGCTCCCTCAGCCCCACCAACCGACTCTAATCTGGGAGAGCCGGGTTTGATTCCCCACTCCTCCACTTGCACCTGGCTGGATGACCTTGGGCAAGCCCTAGTTCTGATAAGAGCTGCTCTTGAAGAAGAGCAGTTTCTGTCTAGAGCTCTCTCAGCCCCACGTACCTCACAGGGTGTCTGTTGTGGGGAGGGGAAGGGAAAGGAGTCTGTGAGCCCCTCTGAGACTCCCTTGGATAGTGAAGGGCGGGGTATGAATCCAATCTCCTCCTCCTCCTCCTCTTCTTCTTCTTCTTCTTCTTCTTCTTCTTCAGATAGATAGATAGATAGATAGATAGATAGATAGATAGATAGATAGATAGATAGATAGATATTGAGAGCCTGTTTGGTGTCGTGGTTAAGTGCGCGGACTCTAATCTGGGAGAACCGGGTTTGATTCCCCACTCCTCCACTTGCACCTGCTGGATGACCTTGGGCAAGCCGTAGTTCTGATAAGAGCTGTCCTTGAAAAAGAGCTGTTCTCAGTCAGAGCTCTCTCAGCCCCACCTGCCTCACAGGGTGTCCGTTGTGGGGAGAAGAAGGGAAGGAGATTATAAGGCGCTCTGAGACTCCTTCGGGTAGTGGACGCCAGGTGTTATAAAAGCCAACTCTTCTTCTTTTGGACCCTTTGGTGCATAAGCTTCATTTCATGCCTTTTGACTTCCAAACTGCTACAACTAAGCCTATCCTCTTTTCCCCCACGGGGCAGGGGAAGGGGGAAACCAGTTAAACGTGGGCTTGTGCGAAAACATTTCAGTTGCAACTGGAAAATCCAGATTTTTATCACGGTAATGAAACGTCGCCAGATAAGCCTGTGGTTTAATTTGCAGGCCTAATTTGCAGGCCTGTTTTCTCCAGGAATACGGGCAGATTCTCGGGATGGCATGCCCGCGGGTCTTGCTTGGCCTGTTGCCACTCCCCCCCCCCAGAGCTTGCAACTGCGGGGTGCCGAGGAGCACAGGGAGGGAGCGGGAACTCTGCATGCTGGGCAGGCAGAGACAGGCTGGTGGGGAGGGGATGTTAGTGCAGAGCTGTGAAAAGCACAGAGGAGGGGCAGCCAAGATGACGAGGGGGTTGGAGCCCCTTCCCTAGGAGGAGAGGCTGAAGAGTCTCCGGGACTTCTCGGTTGAGAAAAGAGACAACTAAGGGGGCGGGGACATGATCAGTGTTCCCTCTAAGCCGAGGTAGTGTGAGCCAGCTCACAGATTTTTAGCCTCCGGCTCACACGTTTCTGTCTCAGCTCAGGAAGGGGATGGCTCCAGAGCAAACTAATTGATGCAGCAGCCATAAATCACTCACTCACAGTTTTAGTGCCAGTAGATCACAAAGTAGAATTTTTGCTCACGAGACTCCACAGCTTAGAGGGAACATTGGACACGATAGAGGTTTATCAACTTATGCAAGGGGGGGGGGAGACAGTTGATAAAGAGACCCTTTTCTCCCTCTCCCCAAATACTAGAACTCGAGGGCATCCAATGAAGCTGGTGGGCAGTAGGTTCGGGACGGGCAGAAGGAAATACTACTTTACACGGAGAGTGACTAAAATGTGGGATTCCCGGCCAGGGGACGTTCTGATGGCCACAGGAATAAATAGCTTTAAAGGGGGATTAGATAGATTCATGGAGGGTACTAGCTCTGGTGACGGAGGGGAACCTCCGCATTCAGAGGCAGTACACCTCTGAATCCCAGAGCCAGGAGGTAACACCAGGAGAAGGCCTCGGCCTCCATGCCCTGTTGCTGGCCCTCCGGAGGAACTGGCTGGCCACTGTGTGAGGCAGGAGGCTGGAGTAGGTGGACCCTCACTGGTCTGATTCCGCAGGGCTCTTCTGATATTCTTCTCAGGGGAAGGCCTCGGCCTCTCTGCCCTGTTGTTGGCCCTCCAGAGGAACTGGCTGGCCCCTGTGTGAGACGGGAGGCTGGACTAGATGGACCTTCACTGGTCTCATCCAGCAGGGCTCTTCTGATGTTCTTATCAGGGGAAGGCCTTGGCCTCTCTGCCCTGTGGTTGGCCCTCCAGAGGAACTGGCTGGCCCCTGTGTGAGTAAGGAGGCTGGACTAGGTGGACCCTCCCTGGTCTGACCCAGCAGGGCTCTTCTGGGGTTCTTCTCAGGGGAAGGCCTCGGCCTCCATGCCCTGTTGCTGGCCCTCCGGAGGAACTGGCTGGCCACTGTGTGAGGCAGGAGGCTGGAGTAGGTGGACCCTCACTGGTCTGATTCCGCAGGGCTCTTCTGATATTCTTCTCAGGGGAAGGCCTCGGCCTCTCTGCCCTGTTGTTGGCCCTCCAGAGGAACTGGCTGGCCCCTGTGTGAGACGGGAGGCTGGACTAGATGGACCTTCACTGGTCTGACCCAGCAGGGCTCTTCTGATGTTCTTATCAGGGGAAGGCCTTGGCCTCTCTGCCCTGTTGTTGGCCCTGCAGAAGAACTGGTTGGATGCCTTGTGAGACAGGAGGCTGGACTAGATGGACCCTCACTGGTCTGATCCAGCAGGGCTCTCCTTCTGTACTTAGGCCAAAATGAGTCAGAAGACTCCGACCTCTCTGCCCTGTTGCTGGCCCTCCAGAGGAACTGGTTGGACGCCTTGTGAGACAGGAGGCTGGACCCTCCCTGGTCTGACCCAGCAGGGCTCTCCTTCTGTTCTTCGTGCGAAATGAGTCAGAAGACTCAGCCATTTTTAAAAACGGTTCCTGTGTCGCCATTCATGCTGTTGTGTGGGGGACAGTCTGGTCTGGGTCTGTCTAGCCAATGTTCACGGTGGCAGGGCATGGTGGCACGTAGTCCACTAGTGGCCATAGAGGTGAATGAGACCCTGATGGGATGGCACCGTCTGCTTCATTACAGAGACGGAGTTGGCGCCAAGACAGGAGGCTGGACTAGATGGACCCTCACTGGTCTGATCCAGCAGGGCTCTCCTTCTGTACTTAGGCCAAAATGAGTCAGAAGACTCAGCCATTTTTAAAAACGGTTCCTGTGTCGCCATTCATGCTGTTGTGCGGGGGACAGTCTGGTCTGGGTCTGTCTGGCCAATGTTCACGGTGGCAGGGCAAGG